GGCGCTGGGCTTGCCTTAACCTCAATCACTGCGTGATTATATAAAGGTAGAAAAATAAATAAAATACAGAGGAGGAGAATAGAATATGAAACAGCCTTTATTTCATTAAAAACTAAATGAAAACAACGAAATAGGAGCGCTATTCCTGACCAGTGCGTCAAAAGACATGCAGACCAGGGAAACGAAACAAACAACCCCATGAATCTCTTTATTAATAGCCTATAAAATGACGTGTTTTCTCCTGCGGGACGGGAGAAGACATAAAATCAATGCATCTCTGTTATTGTGCGGGCATAAGTTCTCAGAGTTTTGCGGGAGCGGGCGGGAGTTGACATACACATTGCGGTTGCAGGCGGTAATGGTCAGAAATTCAGCGTTCTGGTTACTTTTCAGTAACTGCAGCTGCGCTTGTTTGTTTTGTTGTTGTGTGTGTGTGTGTGTGTGTGTGTGTGTGTGTGTGTATGTGCGCGGCTCTGCACATCAGTCTGATATGAGTGCTGACTTGTGATGATAATGAATATGATGTTGATTTAGATTCAAGGCAGCAAGATGAGTTTTGGTTGTGGTTGTGGACTGGATGTACTTTGTTGTTTGCTATAGTTGCATCTATGTGTTTATGTGTAAATAGGCTTGGCCTGTTGTGTGTGAATGTTAGAGTGGGATCAGAGGGGTTAATCTGAGCAAGCATGTGTTTGTGTTCATGCGTGTACTGTAGATGTGACTGTGTGGCGTCGGAATAAAAAAAGTGCTCCACAACGTTATTTAATACATCAGTAATATTGTCTGTTTCAATGCATATGCCCCCCCACCCCCTCCGCGTGACTTGAAATTATGGCCCCCCCCCTTGTTCAGATGCGTTCCGCGGTCCATGCTTGGGCGTACTATAAGCGGAGCAGACTCCACGAGGAATGTCCGCAGTCATTTGGGCTTTCATAGTCGAGCGCACTTCCGCGTTGTAGTTTCCTGTAAAAATGTCCGTGAGCGGAGTCTGTGCGGTCATAAAATCTGAGCTCTGCCTGCACAGGGCTTGCGGACGTCCGCTTTGAGTCCGCGTGGAGATACTTCACTTTCTTCCGCCGTGTCACTGTGATGATGTCATCAAATGACTTGTCGACTCGACTTCGACTTTATTGACAGATAAGTCGACCTGAAAAAAATCAAAGTCGTTAATGCCCTACTCACAACTTACTTTGGGCTGAGTGCAAGAATCACACTGGCTGCAGAGCACATTAACCAGACAACAGCAACATTTCATTTTAGCTGTTATGGAATTAACATTAATTATCTACAGCTGACAGCGGTGTTTGTAATTTTAACTGGCTCTGAGTGCGCCATAAAAATAATAAGCTGCTGTGAGAATGTTATCTGCAATCCTCTTTGAAGGTTCAGTAAGAGATTTGTTAGGGTCAGAGTTTAGGTAATCCAGGTATTTTAAAACCTCAAACTGGATGCAACATGGAACCAACTTTTGGTATCTTGCCCATGGCGAGGAAACTGATCTTCAAGTGTAAAATGGGTGGAGCTCCCCTTTAAATATTGGTGTGTGCTCACTGTGTAGTTTGATCTGTAGACACCTTCCCTCAGATCTGTAGCCAGACGTTATAAGTAGACCAGATAAGGAGAAATACTCTACGCTCAGGTCACGACACAGCTCATAATTCACACACTATTTATGTCTCATATAGAATTTACTAGGAAGTGCCACAGTAGGCACAACAGCTGCCCCCTACTATGACACCCAACTTCCCCCAGGCTCCTGAAATCATCACTTTTATTCACCAGGTCTCTCAGATTCCTGAAATGTGTCAGAAATTCAGAAGTCATACAGGTGCTTTCACACAAGCAGAAACAAGACTGAAACTAAAACTAAATCCAAATGTCTGAAGTTCACTTCACTCACAGACTTGCAAACTTAATGGGCACATCAAGGGTAATGAGCCCCAAATTGCCCGATTGGCTGTGTGTTTAAACAGAGTTTGTGTGAATGTATGTGAAGTGGATGAATGTGACTCTCTAGTAGGAGTGTAAATGACCAGTTTCATCATGATACGATATTTATTTACTAGACTAAGATACAACATTTGACAATATTACAAAGTCTGCCACGACACAACTTTGATATGATGTGATATAGGCACCTGCAATTGATATTAGACGATAATACATGGCCATTAAACACAATCTGTTACAGAAGAAGCTGCCACCCCTTTCTTTTTTACTTTAGGGCAAAAAAATACAACAAATAAAAAGTAAATAATTGTAACTAGTTAGGTGCAGTAAAGTTTACTTTAAACTCACTCCACTAAGACACATAAAACAGCACACGGGATAAATTAACCTTTAGGGCTTTCTGTCAGAGAGACCTTTCTGGAAGAAATCCTTTAATTTTGACCCAAACCATCGTCTTTTTCATTGAACTTCAGGTCTATCTGGCTTAAAACCCTGAAGACAAACTTCTCCAAACAGCCATAAAACATGGATAACAACATCTTTTAACAAAAGTATCAAATTCAGCTCAGTAATAACTGTCAAGGTTCATGGACAATTGTTTTTTTGTGAGTCACCCATTATTAGCTTAGAATGTTTACATTGCATAAATTAACCTAGCGGCCAGTGGACTTTATTCCCTTTACTTATAGCTTAAAAAATTACATGTAACATTATTATTTTCTTACTCACTCATGCTGTTAAGTCACCGTATCTCCTGACAGAACAGCAAATTTGAATTTCAGCCTGCATGCATGTTTTTTTCAACTGAACATTGTTGAAACAGAGCAGCTAATGTTGCTGTAATGAGAAGTTAGCGGAGTGAGATGCCGTCCAGACAGGTGCGTCATGTTTTCTCTCGCAACGTCATTGTTTATATACATCATGTGCTCTGTCTGTTGACCCGTATTTTGTCCATAATCTATTTTAATCATAACCTCCACATTCTCAGGAAGTCTCAGACTGTCAAAATCCACAATTCATCAAGTCCACAAGGGGCCTCAAGTGGACTTTCAGTAGACTTCCAGAGAGCCAGCTTCGGGTGCAGACTTCACTCAATAAAATCACCCATAAACCATAGCAATATGGAAATTACATTGTGACAAAATAATAAAAGAATAATAATAAAATAGAATATATAGGCCTTCCACAACTAAATTTATTTATGTGGTGAGATTTGGTGATGCTCATATAGACCACGCTGAATAATTTGAATTTGCTTATTAATCTGCATAGACAGATCAAAGTTTGGTTTTCATCCACCTACAGTATGAGGATCGTCAGTCAGGCTTCAAATAGACAAAGTTGGCAAATAGCTAGTGAGAAAAGGGGAGCCTTTAGAAGACTTTACTTAGGGGTTTCTGGGAAACAAGTTGGAAAGTGAATATGGATATGGAATATATCCATACAGTGGCCACATGACTCCAAAGGAATGCCAGTGTTGCTCTGTGTCTGCTGGATGTCTAAATAGACAACTGTTTGCTGACAGATTTGCTATGTTATAAACTCAAAAGTTCATAATAGTTGATAAAAGGTATTGTGTCCACAGCTTGTTTCCGCTGCCCAGAAGAGGCTATAAATCATTTAATCACCACTTCACCATCTTAAAGGTAGGGTCTGGAGGATTTTCCAGTTGCTGTTTGTAAACACACATTCAAATTTGGCCCCTCCTATCAGGCTCAACTCTCCCGGTTGTACGGAGCCCAGAGGTTCGGAAGAAGGCTTCACAGAAGAGGTTCAGGCAAGGCTCGCGCTGGTGCACGCTCGGACACGCTTGGGCACGGCACCTGCGCTCTCTCATTGGCTGGGGAAATCTCCACCCAGAAGCGGTCCGAGCTCACAAAAACATCAAAATACAGTTAAAGGGCAGGAGCTCTGCAGAGTCACCACCACACATGAGTAGAAGCCCATAGGTGATGATTAAGCAGGATTTCATTTGTATATGTCTATATTTTGTTTTGTCTGAAAATCCTCCAGATCCTACCTTTAACCAAAACATAGTTGCCATGTGTAGATATTGTTTAAAGTGGGAATTTATTGGCATTGTAATTAAGAAGCTTACAAATTTGTCCAAGATCAACACTGATGTGTTATGACAGGATTGTAATTATGTCAAAGAAAACAGCATGGCCTTTTTTCAATGACTAAAATGAGACTGCAGTGTGGGCCATGGCATAGGCATTATAGGTGAATTCTAAGGCACCGTCATCCATGTGCGGTGTCAGTTTATAACGGCACTAGAGGCATCAGTTTGAAACGCTGCTAGTAACAACGTTTTGCAGCTGTATATTATGCTGCCAGGTGGTGTCAGTTTGAAGCGCCGCTGGATGGGTCCAGCAGACCCTGGACTTTCACTTGAGAGCCTTCTGCTTGCTTGTGAATGTTGAGCCAAACCTTACATAAGGAAATATATTTAGCTAAATATGAGGGGTTTTTACCAATGTAAGTTTATTTTGAAAAATACTGTAAGTATCTAACAAGCACAAACTGTACATGTCCTGTGAAAATGGAAGTGTATTTTGAAAAGACGCAATGCAATTGACAGTGGTAAATCACATTGCGTCTCTGAACATCAACAACACAGGAGGATACCTAGCGCATCATATTTAGATGTGAAAGTCCACTGGCTAAGTAGCAATATTTGACAATTTGGGATGAGAATGTGTTGGTTAAAAGCTATGAACTAACTCATTAAGCCGCCTAATATAGTGAATGAAAACATCCCTGGTTTGAGAGCTGGACACCATTGTTGGATGTTATTCCCCATCTCTCTACTGTCAGCTTTACTAAAGTCAAAATAATACAAAAATATACAAAATATAATATAAATATAATAATATAAATAGAATGAGAGAGATGTTACTCTGATAATAACATGTATTGTAAATCATTTTGTCATGACAATTGCTTTTGCCATACTTTTGCCTTACTTTGTTAGAACACGTTTTAATATTTTGACAAACAAACACGAATGCCTCTTTCTTCCCTCTCTGTCTTCATGTGCATGCCGTCAGCTTCTGAAGGCTCTAACCCCAGAGGAAAACACCCACTGCCAGCACGGACTCTACTTCCAGGATGGTCAGCGGCGTGTCGACTACGTCCTCACCTACCCTGTAAAGAAGCCGTCCAGTGGCCGCTCCAGCCGACAGTCAACGCACTTGCTCACTGAAAATGCTGTCGCCCGCAGCCTACGCCGTGCTCCCCACAGCCGTGATCCCCATAGCCGTGATGAAAATCTCCGACATCACCAAACACAAAAGGCGAGAGACTCATCATCCCTGCCGTCGTCACCGGTGGCCGATGTGGAGCTGGGCTGTACCGGAGAGACCCTCAATGGTCAAGAGGATCACAAAATGTTCAGGAGGGAGGAGTTTGAGGGAAAACTAAGAGACATGGGGCTGGAGCTGGAGAAAGATGAGGATGTGAGTTTACACATTTTTCCATTATTTATTCCAGACACTCTCAACTCAGTAGAAAATGTATTTCTGGTAGTCTCTGTAATGTACCTTACAAACATGTTTCTGTTTAAAGGTCCAGTGTGTAGGAAATTAAGTCTGACAAGTATGTTTGCTGTAGTTTATAATCACCGTAAAATATGAATCATGTTTTTTTCTAGCTTAGAATGAGCCATTTATATCTACATGGGGAGTGAGTTCTTGTCTATGGCATGGATGTATAAAGACACTTTGATACAGAGTTGGAGGTGGGGCCCTGTTCATTCCTATGAAAGATTGTCAGTGGTACCAGGCCCCCAGGAACACTGTTTAGCCTTGCTTCCAATTTCCCCAGTGCCGACTCACTGTATTGTAGCAACAAAAATACCCTGCAGCCCAAAAAGCATTTTCCCCATAGACCACTATTATGAGGGCATCTATAAAAATGCTGGCAGAATGCCTCCAACTGCAAACAAGGTCAATATGAATTTTTCTATTTTGAATTTTTGGTCCATGGAGATTTTATATTTTAAAACATTCCTCAAGCCGTGAAAAGCAATTTAAAAATCCATGATGTCATCACAATGCAAAGTCTGTGAGCTGAGTGGAAACCTGATGGTGGGGAAAGCGAGAGAATCACTACTGCACATATTCAGTAGGATGCATACAGTGGAATACCACTGGAATGAATAGGCGCAATCTGGTGTCTGGTATCTAGTTATTATTATACATTTATGAGAGGCATATGAAGCCAAAAAAAAACTCAACTGTTGCGTATAACATTACCTGGATGATCAGCACTGCTTCTGCATGGACCCATAGAACGGGCGCACTGGAGACTTCCACTGGCCAAGCCGGTTACTTGTTTAACCATCATCCATCCATTTTCATCCATTTATCCAGGGCCTGGTCATGGGGGCAGCAGGCCAGGCAAAGCACCCCAGATGTCCCTGCCACCAGCAATGCTTGTGGCGTTGTTGTGACCCCAAGGTGTTCCCAGGCCAGATGTGATATGTAATCCCTCCAGTATGTTCTAGGTCTGCCCCTGGGCCTCCTACCAGTGGGACATGCCTGGAACACCTCTCACAGGAGGCGCCCAAGAGGCATTCTGATCAGATGCCCGAATTACCTCAATTGACCTCTTTCGACGCAAAGTAGCACCGGCTCTACTCCAAGCTCCCTCCGGATGTTCAGGTTCCTCACCCTATCTCTAAGACTGAGCCTAGCCTCCCTATGGAGGAAACTCAATATGGCTGCTTGTATCTGAGATCTCATTCTTTCGGTCATTACCCAGAGCTCATGACCATAGGTGAGGGTTGGGATGTAGATGGACCAGTAATTCAAAAGCTTCGCCTTCTGGCTCAGGTCCCTTTTCACCACAATGGTTCCGCGCAGTGCCCAAATCAATGCAGACGCCACATCAAACCGTTAATCCATCTCACATTGTATTCTACCCTAATTCATGAGCAAGACCTCAAGAAACTTGAACTCCATCTCTTGAGGCAGTAATTTTCTTCCAACCCAGAGGGAGCAATCCAGTGTTTTCTGGCAGAGATCCATTACCTTAGATTTGGAGGTGCTGACTCTCATCCCGACCGCTTTACTGCCCCAGTGCCTGCTGGAGGTCACGGTGTGATAAAGCCAACAGAACGACATCATCTGCAAAAAGCAGAGGTGCAATTCTGAGGTCTCCAAACCAGTACTTCCAGTTTAGTGGTCCACTAACTTGAATATGAATGAAACGAATTAATTTTGCAGCTTCTTTAGACTTTCCAAATATTATCAGACCAAATGCATCCTGATAGTGAATCAAGTCAGTTTGTGGGTTTGTGATGCCCCCAAAAATTGTCCACTGATTTACAGATGTCTCTTTCACAATGTAAGTTAATTGGAAAAAATCTTTGGGGCCGCAAGGCATCACGTGACAGACTTGGAAGTTGTAATTCCACTGTTTGGCCTTTATGAAAATTGTCTTCAAAGCCCAGTGCATTTTCCGGTAGCCTGGTCTATGGAGATGGCCATGTTACACCACCCTGTTTCTACAGCAGCCAAGAACAGACAAACCAAACACTGGCTCTAGATAGGGCCATTTGTGTCTCCACTGTAGTTCACCCCTCAGTTTTTTTTGCCCTCAGCTTGTTGCAATCTGCAGTCCTCACCACTAGAACCCACTAAATCCCCCTAAATCTTACAAACAACTCATTTAAATGACATTCTATTTGCAAATATAACACAGCTATCAGAATTCAACCTACCAATGTATCGAACACTGTTGCACTGGTCTCTGGGGGTTGAACTGTAAGAGTCTCTTGAAGCCAAGTTGGGTGTTGACATCATAGACTTTAATAATACCTAGATACCAAATGGCAAAACGGGTGAATTATATAAAAATTCCCCCCTGTACAGTTGTCATGAATGTTGAAATGAGCTGCATTTTTTTTTACTTTTAATGTAAACATATCTATGTCTGCTGTAATGTTAGACATTTTAACATGCGAAAATTAGGCCTATCCTGACCCGAAAAGATGCAGAAAAATTGGTCCACGCTTTTGTTACCTCAAGGCTGGATTACTGTAACTCTCTATTATCAGGTAGCTCTAGTAAGTCCTTAAAAACTCTCCAGCTAATTCAGAATGCAGCAGCACGTGTACTAACAGGAACTAAGAAACGAGATCATATTTCTCCTGTTTTAGCTTCTCTGCACTGGCTCCCTGTAAAATCCAGAATTGAATTTAAAATCCTACTGTTAACTTATAAAGCTCTAAATGGTCAGGCTCCGTCATATCTTAGTGAGCTCATAGTGCCATATTATCCCACCAGAACACTGCGCTCTGAGAACGCAGGGTTACTCGTGGTCCCTAAAGTCTCCAAAATTAGATCAGGAGCCAGAGCCTTCAGCTATCAGGCTCCTCTCCTGTGGAATCATCTTCCTGTTACGGTCCGGGAGGCAGACACCGTCTCCACATTTAAGACTAGACTTAAGACTTTCCTCTTTGATAAAGCTTATAGTTAGGGCTGGCTCAGGCTTGCCCTGTACCAGCCCCTAGTTAGGCTGACTTAGGCCTAGTCTGCCGGAGGACCCCCTATAATACACCGGGCTCCCTCTCTCTCTCTCTCTCTCTCTCTCTCGTATTCTATTACTGCATCTTGCTAACTCGGCCATTCTGGATGTCACTAACTCGGCTTCTTCTCCGGAGCCTTTGTGCTCCACTGTCTCTCAGATTAACTCATATCGCAGCGGTGCCTGGACAGCGTGACGTGTGTGGTTGTGCTGCTGCCGTGGTCCTGCCAGATGCCTCCTGCTGTTGCTGCCATCATTAGTCATTAGTCATACTTCTACTGTTATTATACACATATGACTATTGTCACACAAGTATACTGTCAGATATTAATATATACTTTCAACATATTGTACCACAGTAGCCAGAACTATAACTATAATATTATTACTTTCATTAATGTTGTTGTAAGCTACTGTCATTACCTGCATCTCTCTCTCTTTCTCTCTCTCTCTCTCTCTCTCTCTCTCTCTCTCTCTCTCTCTCTCTTTCTCTCTCTCTCTGTCTCATTGTGTCATATGGATTACTGTTAATTTATTATGCTGATCTGTTCTGTACGACATCTATTGCACGTCTGTCCGTCCTGGAAGAGGGATCCCTCCTCAGTTGCTCTTCCTGAGGTTTCTACCGTTTTTTTCCCCGTTAAAGGGTTTTTTTGGGGAGTTTTTCCTTATCCGCTGTGAGGGTCTTAAGGACAGAGGGATGTCATATGCTGTAAAGCCCTGTGAGGCAAATTGTGATTTGTGATATTGGGCTTTATAAATAAAATTGAATTGAATTGAACATGGGAGTCTATGGGGATTGACTGATTACTTGTGACCACCCCCAGTTGTGATGTTGTATAGTGCCAGTGAAATGAAAGCATGTTGTCACCACTGGTTGCCAGTTTTAATGAAATTAGGCAGGCAGCAGAGTTCTGTGCATAATGAAGTTTATTGAGGACAGTGTTTGTGGTGCTATAGAGGATGCTGTTGCAGTTGCAATTCTTTTTTCTGCTTCCATATTTTAATGTCCGTAATGGCTGGTGGTGAGGGTGGAGTGAGTGGCAGCAGTGATGGTCTTGGAAGAGAGGTAGAGTTGTGTATCATCCGTGTAACAATAAAATTGGAGGCCGTGGAGACAGAGGATCTGTCCATGGAGTAGCATGTAAAGGATGAAGAGATGGGGACCAAGCAAAGAACCCTGGGGGATACCATGGGTGACAGTAACTATGGATTAATAACAGTTGTTGATTGAGATGAATTGATCCGGGGCCCTTTAAATGAACATAGTACTGACAAAAAGGAAGACATTGCTTAAAAACTTTGAATTGAATGATATTGAAGTTCATTTGAAGTAAAGTACAACCAGTGTTTGCACCCTGATATGTCAGGACAATTTGGGTCCCGCCCAGACTTTCTGTGTTTGGAAATTTTTTGGAAGCTTGTCTCATCCTCTCTCCTCTCCTCCCCTCTCTTTGCCTCCTCTCATCTTTCTCCTCATCTGTCTCTCCCTGAGGTCATCTCTCCTTTTCCAACCATATCACCAATCCATCTCTCCTCTCTGTCTGTCAGGGTAAACAAACACTTTCTATGAATTACTGGTAATTTAGTTAGAGTAGTAGTACATTTAGAATAACACATGTTTTGGCACACCAACAACATCAACAACAACAACAACAACTGTTTATGAATTAAGGAAGTAGATCAGATGATCATGGAATGACATTACCAGAGGAAACACTTTTACCTACCTACTTGTTAAGTAGTTTTTAGTTTTAAGCCTTTTTTTGAGAGTGGTTGTAGCCTTGGCTTTGTTTATATTTAACTACAGGAAATTAGCAGACATCCACTTTTTAATGTCTTCCACAATTTAGGAGGCAGCCAATTTTTGTCAAACTATTTGCAGAGTTGCAGCTTAGATATATTTGTGTATCAGCCGTGTAAAAGT